AGCCCATGGTCATAGTAGTACGATGGGAAAAAATTCGATCCTAATGAATTTTCCTGCCTTGAGATATTGAGACTCGAACATCTGACCCTCACCCTCACCTTCAGGTGAAATATTCGAGTCTCAATATATCAAGGCAGGAAACTTCATTAGGATCGAATTTTTTCCCATCGTACTACTATGACCATGGGCTACCAGTGTGGCAAATTTGAAGTCAAAATTCGAAAGTCGGATTTTGCTCGAAATCCAAGCTCTATAGGCAAAAGCTGACTAAAAATTCAATATCTCAGCAACAAAGCATCATGGGCATGAACCAACTTAGGATATTTCACTACTCACTGAGGTCTACAAGATACAAGTAGTCCAAGTTCAAAAGCGATTTATAACCTCAAGAGGTTCTCTCGTCAGACTATCCTCTACATGACATGTTCAACTCGAAATTAAAAATTTTCTAAAAAAAAAAGAAAAGAGAGTATTTCGTAATCACTATTTACTTTCAATCGTTCATATTTTCATGAAAATAGCATAGATATTTTATTTTCAAATGATGATAATAACAAAAAACAACACAACAAAATTTAACATAAAGAAAAATTTATCATCACAATAGACTACACTAGAACAAAAAAATTACTTAGATTAATACACGTATAGATTAACAAGATAAAATGCTAATACTAATCTATTTAATACACCCGTTTCACACTTAATAATCTTAATCGTCGTCATATTTCCTGATTTATAAAAAATTTAAAAGGAAAAAAATTTTTATAACTAAAAATTGAATGAAACAAAAAAAAAACAAAAAAAAACGAAGGAAAATTGCATTTCACTACAAGGAATGATATATCATAATATTTTAATATATACGATTTTTAATTGAAATAAATATATTATGTTTTTATTTTTATTTAATACAATCAAATCCTGGTAAAATATCTTCTATAACATCAAAATAGACTCGTGGTAATGCACATCCAAGTGCTGCTGTTAATGGTTCACGTTTTATTTGACATACAGTTAATAATTTATTAATTAATAAATATTGTATAGATTTTGCTACATCTATATTTGCTTGTTTTTCTTGATGAAAAAATTCACCAGTAAGAAAACAATGATTTACATTTGGATATAATTTAATAATTAATTTCACTGTTAAAGCTATATTCATTGTAATCATATTTAATAATGATTTTTTCATTGATAATTTAAAATTTGTTGATTGATATTGTGAAAAAAAACTATCATCTGTTTGTGTATGAACATCATATGAACATATATTATTATCATAAGATGTTGAACGACGATTTGACCATCCACGATAAATATAATATGGTGATTTACATGTTTTATAATTTTGTGGTAAATATTTTGATGAAACATGAGTTAAACTTGTTAAAGGTAGAGTACAAGTAGAATAAGATGGTTTACAATTTTTACATAAATCATTCGTTGTAAAATCAAATGATGGAACTTGTGAACGTAAAAATGATGATGATGATGATGATAAATAAGAAAAAGATGATGAATGATGAGATATAGATTTTTCTTCTTCTATAGGAGTTTCATCATCACCTTGACAAAAATATTTAGTTAAATTTCTATATGTTGAATAACATAAATTTGAATATGTACAGATTGTGTATGTAGTTGATGAATGAACAATATAAAAATAGGTAGATGATAATTCGGCATGTATTAAAAGATAAGGATAAAGATTTAATGGTGTTGGTAAATATTTTTCATTAAGAATATCATAGAATTCATGATGAAATTGTTGTTGTTTTTGAATAAAAAATTCAATTCCAATCATATATGATTCTGCTTGACATGTAATAATATCAAAATTAAGATTAATTTTATTTAATTTTTCACTAATTTTTAATTCATATTCTTGATTAGAATGTCCGGTTAAAGCAATATTTAATATAAATGAATTATTATTTGTTGTAAACGATTGTAAATGTAACAAAATAGTATGAAAATTATCTCTTGTTAATGTAAATAGTCTCAAATTTGCTTCAATATCATGTTGATCATGTAATTGAATATTTGATATAGGTGACCATTGTTTATATTCAAATTTTTCGATTAATGATAGTAAATATCGTTGAAATAAAACAATATTATAGTCAATATTTTGTGGATAACGTTCTAAAAGGACTAGATGAACGGAAGACGTGGTTATATTTAGACCTAGAGCCGGTACACGAGTTTGATCGAATGAATAATTATCAATTAATGTTGATGATGATATTGTTGGTGGTATCGGTTGATTTAAAAATGTTATTGGAACATTAATTGGTTTATCTTGAATATTAACATCACATTTATCTTCGGTTGTACATGAAACAGAACAATCTAAACAAAAATAAACAAAAAGATAGTCGAATCATTGTATCTACGAATATCTATGGATTAATCTTTAAAATCTCTTTATTTATCATTTATGTTAGGACGACGATATGTATCAAAATCAATCAAAATATCAAAAAAATTTGTTACGTTGTAAAACGGTGTACGACGACACTCAAAATATCTAATTGATCATAAAACGTTTTTATTGAATTATTTTACTTGGAATATAAATAATAACCCATTTTTGTTCACAAAAATATTTGTTGCTACTACATGAAAGTTTTTTAAGAGCGGACGCCACTGTTTACAATGTTTTTGATCGATGAGATTCAAAAGAGCATAAATTAATCTTAATCTATTCTATCGGTGACCGAAACTGATGTAGATCTGCCCAAGTCCACTTTCATATCGCATGTCGCGACGCGAGGCTCTTTAAAAATTTGCTGCAGGATCGCGTAACATGTTCACTGTAAGACTCGCGAAATAAGACACGATTTTTGACGATCGCTATTGTTCGCGTACAAAAATCAATGACTCTCAAGTATTTTACTATAGTTACTATATTCTGTCTAATATTAATAAATGAGTCACGCGACTTTTACCGCGAACGCAGACGAATGGCGTACGCGCGACGCAACTACGCAAGACTATATATTCGTCATGTCGTAAGCTATTATTAAGATGTGACAAGATTCTGAAAATTTTTCGAAAAATGAGTAAGAGTAATATACCAGACGTGTAAGCAAAACAAAACGGTGAATAGGATTTGCATGGAAGACGCGCCGCGACGCTGCATCATGTCGCGATTGTAAGAGAAAAATGTAATCGCGCTCGGATCGCTAAGTCGCACTGCGATCGCTAAAAAGTCACTATTTAAGGTCGCTTCGCAGTCGCGAATTACAAATTTTCGAAAAGTAAGACTTCATCGCGATCACCCTGCAACAACAGCGACTTCTTAGCGGTTGTGGCACGAGTTGCGAGACTTTAACGTGATCGCGGAGCGAGGACCACGTTCGCGACGTGAATGATGCAAGAAAGTGAACTTGGGTAGTCGATGTATTGTCGGACAATCTTGTACAAAGTAGAACAGGCTATCGTACGCATATACTATTGTCGTTAAATTTCTATTTTAACTTTTTTTTTCTCTAGTGCCTACACTTTATGCTCATAATAAACTCATTTTTATTTGATAATTTTTCCTTATCTCTTGTCTCTATATAAATTCTGTCATTTTTAACACAGGTGTGACTATACATTTCTTAAGTCTATGTCCTTTATTAAGAATAATTGTCTCATACATACACAAACAGAGTGTGACGAAAGGAGGAGAAAAAGGTAATGTTATAAAACGTGACAAAAATTGATAATGGTCTTCTTGATACGCATTAATCTCATTAACGGATAAATGACAATAAAAAACAAAACAAAAAAAGAAGAAAACTCTTGAGATTTTTGTTATGGATAAGAAACAAAAAATAATAAATAAAAATCATTAGTTCTAGATTTAAATCTAATCTTACTAGTCTATTTAATGAAATTGTGAGATTCTTATATGTAAAAATAAAATTAAAACATTGTTAGTTACCTTGATTTTTTAATTCTATTATTTCTTCTATTTGTTCTTGTTCTTCATTTTCTGTTACAGTTGAAATTGATGAATTAGATCGAGAAGAAAATGAACTGGATGATGTTGATGAATCACTTGAACATGTCATAGATAAAAAAGATGAATAACGTGATTCATCATCCGTTTTTTTCGTTGATATATCTTTGATAATTGTTGATTCATTATCATTTTGTGGATCAATTTTAGTTGATGTTTGATTTGTTTTACTTGTTAATAATTCAACAAGTTTTGCTACAGAATCATAATTTTTACCTTTTCCAAATGTTGTTGGACGAGTAATTGTTATATTTGATTTTGATGTAGACTTTTTTTTTGCTGATGATTGTTGATGATTATTATTAAAAAAATTATGTTCATTAAATTTACGTTGAAATGATAATGGTGATAATGAACGAGAATAAGATGAATGAGATGGTGAACGATTTCGAGATTGTTCAAAATAAGATGATGAAGTTGACGGTGAATAATAGATATAATATGAAGATGGATGAGTATAGAAACTATGGGAAAAACCGTTATGCATTTAGAAAATGAAACCACCGGAAAATTAGAATAAATCTAAAATTAGAAAGAAGAAGAAGAGAAAAAAAAAGAAAAACATTAAAAATGAAAGAGGGAAAATAAATAATTATCATCATTTGTAATTGTGAACATTCACTGAAGATAGTCATAAATATAAATAGTTGTTGAATTATACAACATACCCACTAATTATCGATAATATTTCTGCATAATTCTACACATTTTATAATTTTTACTTAAATTTAAATATAGAAAATAGAAAATGACTTTGACAATTGATAAACGAGACATTTTTTTTCTAAGCGAGACTCTTCACCTATTCTACGTGTTATACTTATATATACTCTACAATTATAATTAACAAAAAACAACCAATTTGACTAAAATTGTTATTTGATAACAAAATCTCTTTTATCATTTCGTTAATCGCACAAAAAAAGAAACAAAAAAAAGACTAAAAAAATTTATTATCAAATAAATTTAAACGTATTTTGTGCAAATGTTTTTGCTACACATCTTATACATATTTTTGTCATCATTTCTTTTAAATGATCAAGTCATAAAGATCAATTGCAAAGGTGAACAAACTGGATTACATTTCAGAAATATGTGTATGACAAGGAAGAGGAAAAAAAGTGTGAAAAACAACAATAGAATAAGACAAATAATTTGGTGATAATCTATAATAATATTTATTCAAAGTAATTCATTCTTATTAGTAAATGTATTAATCAAACTTTCGAATGACCTTTTCTCTATCAACTATAAAAATAAAATAAAAAAAATAAAATGCACTTCTCAAATGGGTCAACAGTTGAAGTAAAAGAAAAAAAGGACAGGCGTATAGAAAATTATCTTTCATCTATAGTTTATTTTTCCTTATTTATTCTTTATATAGAATTTTAAATTGAATAAAAATGGTTTAACAATCTTTCCAAACATTATCTAGAGAAATAACAACACTTTTCAATTACTATCATTATCTTATAACTACAATGGAACTACTATGAATCTTATAACAGTAAAAATAGATAAAATTTCAGATAAAAAACGACTTTTTCAGATTAAAACACTACTGAGGGAAATATGAGAAGATGTGAGTAAGGAAAAAAAGGAATATAAAACTTGAAAAAACCTAATTGAAACTTGCCAGATAATTGTTTGATTTTTGTTTTCTTTCGCTCATCTTCTCACATATTTCATTCAAAACTATTAAATTCTTCGGTACTTCGAACAAAGTTGTGCTTTTCTTTGAAATTTCATGATTTTTCTTCAAATTTTCTGAGAATCTAAAAAATTAGACTTCTCTTCTGACTACATTATCAATTCTAAAATCTGTTTGTACTTTAAAAATCATATGCTAGACGAATTGATTACTTACAAATTAAATAAATCGTGTATCGTTTGATAATTGTTTTATTAACTAATTTATACCAGTTTTTTGTGTCGTTTTGTACAAAAACTATACAAAAGAGAAGAAACATTTTTTCTTCTTCTTCTTCTTGTTCTTTAATTGCTGTACGATAAGTGTTTCATAGTTATTATCGATGAAACAATAAATTATTGTTCTATAATTACGGATATCAAACCAATTAATCCTTACATCGTACATCTACATCTATTCAAAAGTATCATCTATATGACGTCTTTTGTTTAAAGAAGAGAAAAATGATAGACAATAAATGGTAAACAAAAAAATATAGCCACAAAACCGCAGACATTTAATTATTTTACAAGTAATAAAAATATTTGGAACAAATCAATTGAACTTTCTACAACTATATTTAGAGAGAGAAATGATAGAATTTTGTATAAAAATCCTCTCAAAAATTCATCATTAACTAATCTATCTTAATTAATGTTAAAAAGAAGGACATTTTTGTTTTTTCTAGTATAGAAAAAAATAATAAAAAACATTGAATAAAAATATTCTAATTGAACGAAGAAAAGAGTATGTAGTAGTCATGATAAGAAAAATATAATAAAAATAATATTGACTTTAGCTCTTAACTTTAGCTTGATAAAATAAACACATTCATCATATGATCATATATAAAGGTTGCCGATCATAATTAGAATAGTCTAACAAACAATCAAATTGCTTATCCATTACAATTTTGAAAAGATAACAATATTATATTTATTGTGAGAAAAACAACTATAAAATATAATATGTCTAAGATTGAGGGTGAATATAATGAAAACATATAAAATTTTTATAAAATTTTACTCATATAAATATGTCACATTTATCGTCACATTGAATTCAAATAGCTAATAGATCCCTTTTTATCGACACAGAATGATTCATACACTTGTAGTCAGTGAAACTAAAGTCTCTGTCTTTAATATTTAATGACCACACGTCCGAGTTAAATATAACAATTCACTGAACTTTCATCGAAAATATATTTTTTTTGGCTCTTGATTTATTGTTTTCTTCCTCGAAAACGAACTTTCCTATGCACTCTAAATCCTATCCGTACTTTGTAATCATTAAAACGTAACCAGTAAAAAAACTTTCGATAAAAGTTCACAGTATCATCCAGGTCAAACAATCTTACTGTAAGATCTTATGAGATTCTTGTACGATTTCGTCTAATTTCATTAAGATTCTGTATGAAACATTCAAACTGATTCTTGATATAAAATCTTATAGTAAGATTTTATCAGATTGTTCGACCCGGACAGATGTAACATTCCATCCGATATTTGAATATAAAATTTTCTACTTGTTTTTTTTCTTTTTCTTCAAAAAATTGATATTTGTTATGATCTTATCTGTCCCAATAATGATTGAGTGTGGAGAGAGGCGGTCTAAGTGCCACTGTTGAATTGAAGAAATGTTACACTTGAATAGTAAGATTTAAAGAGAAAAGTTGAGTAAACAAAACTTGTTTAAGAATTGAAATTGTATAACTTTTTACGATATAAACATTGTCAAAAAAAACTAAATCAACAAATTTCTTCTCTCAGTCGTTGTTTCAATTAGCAAATTACATCAAAACACAAAAAAAAATGACAAATTTCATCCGTTACCTACGAAAGCAAAAAAAAACAAACATGGAAATAGAAATTTAATTCGATATATCCTAAATAAGATATGCACCGGGTCGAGTTACCCGAATATTAAAGTCTGTTTTTTTTCTGATGGTTGTTATTCTCAGGCCTCCCCATTAAAGAGGATCCCACACTTTTATTCTATATTGCATATTACCTTCATTTTACACTTTACGCAAATAATCTGAACTCTTACGTACTTTAGTATTTTTCCATAGAAATCGAAATCGAAAATAACCGAAAATGTCTTACTCTAAGTGCAAAATGGAAGTTTTATTATGGCAAAATACTAAGAGTTCAGATTACTTGCGTAAAATGTAAAATGAAGTTAACATGCAAAATAGTATAAAAGCGTGGGATCCTCTTTAATATGGAGGCCTGAGAATAATAACTATCAGAAAAAAACAGACTTCAATTTTCGAGTCGCTCGGTTCGAGTTTTTGGGTAACTCAAAGCTCAGTGCATACCAAATCTTAAACAGCAATCAATTGAATGAAGGAAAATAATCATTATTGTGTAGATATTCTACAGAGCATATCTACAATGTTCTTTTCTTATTTCCTATCCTATCCCATTCGAATCTTTCCTTTGAATTTACAGTAAACTATGTCATAGTCGAGCATCTTGAACATGATAAAAACAACAACAGCAACAATTGCATTTGACTATATAATGGAGTGAACGTAGAAAACAAAACTTTTACCTTTTAATAAGCACATCTATAATTTGAATGGAAAACATATACATACGTTCAAGATTTCAAAATTTAACCTATCTGTATAAATATTATCAATGTTTATTCTTTGAATCGTTGTATTGTACGATACGTGTTGTTCTTTCGTTTTTCTTCTTTTTTTTTTTTTTGGCTCTACTAAATGATAATAATTCTTCTACTTTATTTTCTTTTTTTTTCCACTACTTTGTCTTTTCTCTTGCTTCTACGACAGTTAATTCAAAACATATATTGTTTTGTACAAAAAATAAACTCTATTGAATAATTCCCCTTGAAGAAGAAGAAGAATAAAAGAAGGGAGAAAGAGAGAGAAAGAAAAATTTATTAAAATTACAATGTATCAAATCCATATTAATCAAAGCAATTTTCTCGCGTACTACAAATTTTTGATCAGAAATGTTTAAATAGAAATATATGCACATTTTATACAGTAATTAATAAATATTTGACATACACACACACACACAATCAAATTTTAAATAAAAATAGTTTAATTAATTATGCTTACTACAAAAAGAAAAGAAAATGAGATATATATGTTATACTTGATAATAATTGTTATTTATAAGAAAAATTTAATCTAGTTTAAAAAAAATAAACAAAAAAATAGAATAAATAATAAATAAATAAAAGATAAACTCTTTCATTTTATATTTTAACTATATTAACACGACTTTTTTTTTTTTTTACTTCAATATATTTAAATAAAAACAATAACGTTTTATTAAATGATTTTATCATCTATATAAATAGTTGTTGAATGCCACCATCTATCAAACTAACCGTAACCTATTAACCTTGTATAAACAAAGTATAAAATTAACTTTTACTCTTACGATGACTTAATCAAAGGACAAATAATGAATAAAATAAAATAAAAATAAAAAAAAAAACCTATCAATGATAAATTTATATTAGTATAAGAAGAAGAAGTGTGTATGTGTAAAATATATACTGATATATATGCGTACGCTTGTAGAGATATTTCTGATTTTAATCATTCTATTAAATAATTTTTTTTCTCTCTTCTACACTGTTCAAGCTTGCGGTCTAATAGTAATACTTTTTTTTATTTTATTTTATTTTATAATTTATTTCACTATTTGATAACTGAATCGATAGATAGATATACACATATATATATACATAGAACGAACAAAAAAAAAATAAATATAAAGACGTGTTCAGTCATAGAAAATAAAAATCAA